GTTGTTAGCTTCTGTAAGATATAAGTATGCGAAATATAAAATTTTCCTGAAAATATAAAGTCATGTTACAATGGAAAAGGATTCCGTTTATTCATAAAAGGAAAAAAAAATGAGTTCCAAAGTTGAGCAAACAAGGAAAATGAATCCTATTCATGGTTAAGCCACAAGGTTAAAACTACATTTTCTTGATAATGCAATGAACTTTGCATATTTGATAGTTGGTCATTCAAACAGTGTACGTCATTTTGTGCTGATATTCTGCGATTAGTTTCTTGTTCCAAGTGGGATGTTAACTGCTCTAGCTGCAAATAATTTGAATTAAATAAATGAATTAATAGTAACAAAAAATGTTTCCACTTTTGTGAATTATAAACCGCAAAATTTTGGAATGTGTTACGGCAAATTCAGAGGATTGCATCAGTCAAGTATAGAATTCACTGGCATAGAACTATGAACTAAAACAAAAATTTATCACAAAATAAGAGTAGCTAGAAATCGAAAGCAATAGTAACACAGAACTATTAAAGTCACCTTTTTGTGAGCTGCTTGGAGATCGCCAACGAGACGTACATTATTTTTCCTGGCTTCATCGTTAATCTTATTTTCATCAGAAAAGTTTTCCTGCTGCGCCATTAATTCACTCAGTTTTCCCACTTGGCATTTTAATGCCATTTCCCGATCACGTGCTGCTGCTAATTCTATCCGTAACTCTTCTACTTTTTCACTCTGTTCCTATAAATTTGAATAATTTATAAATTCTAAAAGTACCACTGCATTTTATTGAAATAAATAACTATCAAGCAACATCATTAATCGATTTGAACAATAATATGGACTCTTACATTAGACCGTTGCTGTGCTCGTCTTAAATTTTCTCTTTCTTGTGAATTCAAAGTATGCAACTGATCAATTTGCTGCTGTAGTACCGTCTCTTCTTCATTACTTTTCTGAAGTCGCTCATTTAATTCACGAGCAATTTCACTCTGTGAATTTAATTTAGCATGCAATTCACTTTGCTGCTTTCTGGCCCGTTCTTCTGCTTCGGAATGATGACGACATTTTTCATTCAGCTGAAATAAGCACTCAGTAAACCGTTAAAAAAGCGAAACTAAATCTTGCGGAGAGTCAAGTTAAATTATCTTCTAAAAATCCAGTGGTTTCATTGTCAGCAGCTTCCAAACATTCAAATGGCAATTACAAGGTTTTTTCTAAGCAAATGAATAGTATAAAAATGCTTCTAACAAAGCAAACGCTAAAAACCTCTCCGATTTGCCGTTCAAGCTCTTTCATACGATCTTCCACCTTCGCTTTGATAATTAACTGCTCTTCCAGAGAAGTTATCATTTGAATTTTAATATTCATTTCTTCACGTTCCATATCAAGTTTTCGAGTCAAATCTTTCACTTGTATTTGATATGTTGCTAATTCCTTTTCAAGCTTTCGTTTTTCATCCTAGAATTTTGTGGTATAATATCTGTAGGAAATTAATAAAAGAGATAAAGTGCATTATGCTTATATTTAATCGAAGCAACTCAATAATATACCTCTAGCTGCGATTCTGAAATTTGATTCAGCTGATTTAAAGCAGCTCGAACTTGCACAGCATCATCCCTTGACGTAGTTTCAAACTTTTTTTGAATTACAGAAATCGGTCTGAAACGGCATTTAAAGTAGAAAAATTACTGTGAACTCTGTGATCCTGATTTTAAATCAACTAAAACTGACCCAGTTTCATTAGAATACGTGAAACCAACAAAGGGTAGCTGATTTCCAGCGAATGATTTCGGAATTTGAAAAAACTCCGCAGGATCCGGCTCTTTTACCTCAATGTCATCAAAATGAGAGGCATCGTCATCACCCTTTAGTTCGGGAATCACTGGAGGCACGGCTGAAGCGACTTTGTTCACATAAATTACAGAATCAATAAAAACGAATAAACAGGCAACTAATATCTTTGAAAATTAATGATTAGTTTATTAACCCTTCCGAATAGTCTCGAAGTTCCACTCATCATTCTGGAAAAAAGGATGTTGTTTTATACTTTCGACACCATCTTTACCAAGTCGTTTTTCTGAGACAGAAAGAAAAGCGCGCACTAAATTTTTGGCATTTTCTGACATCTCAACATCTTCCGGAAAACTGAAAATCATAAATCTAAGGATGAAAAGCTAAGAATATTGCTTTGTTTCCAGAACTATCAAAAAAAAAAAAAAAAAACCAACTTCAGTTCTGTCGCATGATTTCTGATTCTCGTGTAAGTCCCCATCAGAGAATCGGCATAAAAGGGTGTTTCACCCACCAGCATTTCATACACAAATATACCCACAGCCCACCAATCAACTTCACGACCGTATACTCCTTCGGTGCCTTGTAATTCCAGTACTTCTGGACTAATATAATCAGGAGTACCAACTGCAGTAGTACATTTTACCAAGCCATTCTGCAAAAAGTTCGCTATAAATAAAACTTCAGAATAAATTTACTATAAATCCTTTCTTTCAATTTATACTAGATCAGGCAAGAATGAAATAGCTTTGAATAACTCCAAACATTTTCTATACATAAACTTACCGGACCCATGCGCAGACAAGTACCAAAATCAGCTAATTTCACGTGACCTGATTTACTTATAAGCATATTATCCGGCTTAACATCCCGATGAATGTACCCCATCCCATGTAAGGTATCCAAAGCCATTACAAGCTCAGCTGCATAAAATCGAGCCCATTTTTCAGACACATCATATGATGTCATTAAGTTGACCAAATCGCCTTAAAAAAATACGCACGTGTATTTTAGAATCGGAATTCTCTCTAAGCAAAAAATTAAAAAATGTGTTTCGTCTTTTCCAAATCAAACGAACCTCCAGGCATGTATTCCATCACCATATACAAAAACTGGGTATCCTGGAAAGCATAGTGTAAGCGTACAATCCATTCAGAATGAGCATGTGCCATAATATCTCGTTCTTCCCAAAAGAAAGCTGAATCAGCCCGCCGTACCTCAAAGAACAAAAAAAATATTATTCGGTTTTCAATTTCTTGATTTTCAACAAAACATTAAAACAGCTATACCTACCATTTCATTTTTGTTGAGCAATTTCATAGCATAAACATTTCGCGATATAGTATGCCGCACTAACTGCACTTCACCGTACGCTCCACGTCCTATGACTTTGATAAGCTGGAAGTCGGAGCCTTTTAGACGAAGTGTTGTAAGTTGTTGTACTGCTTCACTATCTAAAATAAAAATTCAGAATAAGTGAAAAAAGATCATTATTACTATATTCAGCAATGCAGCATCGATTAACCTATCATAAGCAGGATGATTATTAGACAGTGATCATGACATTTAAAAAAAAAAAAAAAAAATTGAGAAATAACTTCGTTCTGCGTTTAAGAATCCTTACGAGAAACACATAAAGAAGATCTACAAAGAATACGTTTCACCAAACAGAACACTCTAGTACTTTTAATAATACTTTTACTCAGAAAAGAAGACCAAAAAGTTACTCACAACGAGTAACAAAATTGTCGATATTTTTTGTTCTCCTTAACAAGGGATAATTGCAATCTTCTACCAAGGCCGCCAACGCATCCTGTAATTGGAGTCCTACATAAAATAATATGGTAGCTTGCTCCACTAGATTTAAACTCGCACTGTAATGCATACAGATATGTGTCATATGTAAAAACGTCAAAAAAGGAACAAAGTAAAAAGATTTTGCGCACAATCTATGCGCTGTTTGCATAATTTTCAGTGAATAAAGAAGGAATCGAAGAAAAATGACTTGCCAGTAAGCCATCAACATTGAGCATGGAACGGGGGTTGAGAAGCTGTTCGGCCAGTTCAGCTGCTTCCCCCATTTCTTCTGCAAAATTATTTTTAACATATTTTTGAATGCATTCATAACAGAACACAATTATGGTTAATTACCTACATGGGCTATACTGTCAAAATTAATCCAATCTGCGATGGTAAGATGTGCTAGCATAGTAATTATATGTGAACCTCTATCTTCAGTTCTACAATACTGAATGTTATGAAATTAAAAAACAGACTCAGGAAACAATGTATTTTTAGTGCACCAATAAGCTCTGGAAGAGAAATTTTGCTTGAAACAACTTTAAAATAAATGCCGTACCCTCAAATCCAGTGCGGAAACCAAGTATAAACAAACAACCCATTTCTTGAGGATGAAGTCGTACTTAGATTTATATACTTACTAGGACTTTCACTTTCTCTAAGCACTTTGATATCGATAAGAGATACTTGGAGAAAGATTAAGTGACTTATTCCATATCAGCTGCTTTGTATCTGTGTTCTCCAATTATAATTTAACTTTTAAAAACTAAACGAAATGCAGACAATACATGAGAGCTTTGGAAGGATAAACAATTGGCACGGAAGCACCATTTCACATGTTTTGACATCTTCTCCTCTGGATCTAAGTGAATACAACTGTAACACTTTCAAAAAAAATACACTCATGTTTGAATTAGATCTTTTCTATCAGCAACAAGAGAATCATCCGACAAATAAAAGCAATACATTTATTCCACAATAAAAACATAGATAAAAGAGAAAACTTAGAGTGAGAACATAAAATCAAAAACCAACATATAAACCTAATATAAAAACCATTTAAGAAACTATTAGAAGCATAATAAGATGATGGTGCAAATAAATCCACGAGACCAGATTTTCTTATTCCATTTCATTTTATCGAAAATCGGTTACAATCAGTTGGTCTTATTGGAATATCGAAGTGATTTTTAGCAAGCTCGCAAGAATGTTAGATTAAAAGAGACAAGGAACTAAGGAAAGAAATGAAAATGGAGAAAGAAAGAAATTTTCATTTTTCAAAATCCCTAATCCGCAACATTCTTTGCTTCTTGATTAAAAATTTTCTTGCATAGAAGCAATGAAATTTTAAAGGCAGAAATCAAGGGGATTATATCATAGGCGAGTGAACAAAAATGAGGTCTTTGTAAGAAATATTAACTCTGCTTAGACTTAACGCCATACTTTTCCTTTATTCTATCTTGATGTTCTGGAAATGGATCATAATTGCTTAGTAAGCCAGCACCATAATAAGTATATTGAGAATTGAGAACATTGATATGATAGGTTTTCTGCAATTTCCGTCGTCTACGATGCAACTGAAAAAAAAAAAATCTTGAAAAACTTTTACATAGTGAAGTAACGAATAACTATCACTAATACCTTATTTCTTTCACAGTCTTAAAATTAGGATATTCAGTAATTATAAGTAATAAGTAATTAAGCATAATAAATAAAAAAATAAGGAACTGGTATTGTAGGAATTCTAAAAAATAATAAATCAAAAGATGTATAAATAATGCTTCAAAAGACGTATAAATTCTAAAACGAAATCATTAAAAACAATTCGTTTTCAAGTAAACTTTTTAATTAAAATCCACAGATTCTATAGCTTTACAGGCTTTCTTTTTCCTGTAAAACCGGCAAACCAAATAATCTCTAGACAAATAAGAACTAGACGAATTAACAAACTGATAGCTTAGGATAAAAACTTGATAAAGTTATTTTCTTTCCAGTTACATTACATGACAAGTTATCACACATGAAATTTGCGTCCTTCTTGCCGCTCGAATGTCTGTCATAATAGAACCAATCAAGAAATTGTTTAGCTGTGTGTGCGGTCATTCTCGCAAAACTCAAATATCGGCGTAAAAAGAAGAAAGTGTAGAAAGTAAAAAGATATACAGAAATGATACAGACACAAATCAAAATCGGACAGACAATATGATTTTTTTTTTCTGGTTTGGTTACCTGTTTTGGTGATAAATTACAGAAATCTGTAAAAACTTTGATGATACATACAGAAAGGGATATAATTATAACATGCAAAGTGTAAAATTTTCAAAATGACAGTGCCCTGACAATAATTTTATAAAATCACTCTGAATCCTGCATTTAGTTCTACAAGTTGTCACATATGAATAGCTGAGACAATATACTGACATCTGCCTAACAACTGTTAATCTCAATTTATGTTTTTTTTTTTTTTTTTAGTTCATGTTTTTCCCTATACTGAAATTCGAATAATCATCACTTTAACACTTTTAATGTTTTGCAAGGATTCAATTTTTTTTTTAGATCTGACCAAAAGATCCCCGGGAACATACAAAAGATAGTTCAAAATAAACATTTTTTTAAGCAGTGTATAGGATTTAAGACACGAAAATCAAGCAGCTTGTGACTTCTCAAGTTAAGCATTAAACATATATAACCAAATTTCAAATGCTCAACCTTAAAAAATTTTTGTAAGCAGTAAAATGAACCTTTAAAATAGTATGCAAGTCATTGAGAGTGAATGGAAATTCACCATCAGAATCTGAGTCAGATTCCTCCAGCAAAATTTTCTGAATCCACTTTCTTTTTCTCAAAGTTTTAAAATTGTACAGCTCACTGACAGCAGTTTTACGTTCTTCTTCTGTTGCCCAGAGAGAGCGTACTGAGAACATACTGGCAATGTTGTGACGCACTTTAACAGGCGAACCAGGATAAGGCAAAATTGACGTGCCTGGAACTCTGGAAACAAAACAGGTTTTGCACATTAATCATTTTGCAAATCGTTAAAAAACATTTTAAAAAAGTCTAAAAGCAAACCAGTATTTAAATTCTAAACGAATATAACCATCACTTTATTGGCTGAGTCAATAGTTCTTCCAGTTGATGCACAAACCGCGTCAGATCCAGCATTTTGTGCAATCTTTGCATTCGCAATGACTCTGTTGCTGTATACCTTGATTGACTGCTTATCACTGTTTCACCAATCTCCAACTTTTCTACATTCGACGTATCTGAATTCAAACTCACTGAATTTGCCACCAAAATTTCAGAAAAAAAAAAACATACTTAGAAGATTTGTGCTATACGCACAGATAACAACAAGTTGGAAATGTTTAAGCAGCATAAACCAAGCTAGGAAGCATTTCCTTCCAATAAATCCATCATATGAAAAAAGATTGACAGCATTGTTGTCAGAATAATTCAACGAGCACACTAAATAATAAATAAATACTAAGGCCTAACCTTGATGTCTGTCTGTGTCCATCACATATCCAATTGTCTTCGCCGTGTCATTACTTCCTCACCACCACCATGTAATATAATACTCTTAAAGCAGATTGTGATTTCCCGACACTATTGTGCTGCAAACAAAATGTACTATCAGTTGTGGCGGGATTTTGAAGGAGAGTGTGGAGCATTACGTGACCTGAGTTCTCGTCGTGATTAACCTGTTATAAGTAGTGAGACTACAAGTTAGAAATTGATTGAATATGAATTGGCCCCTAGGGTTTAACTCTTCACTTTATTTACACGTCGATTAAGCCAACAGCTGTTGGGCATTACTATAATGTAAAGATGAAGTTATTTATTGCATTAGTGAAAACTTTTTATTGCAGTAAGCAGTCCTACAAAACAACCCCAGCACAATCATCAGATTAAAAGCAAAAAAAAGCAAGTGTTCTTAATAAAGGGGAAAAAAATATAATTAACATAAAAAATGACACACAATGATGACAAAAAAAGGCAGCAAAAGTCTATATAACCAACAAATACAATGTATACAATAAATGAATAATCATACAATTTGACGAATGACAAAAATTAAGTGACACTAATCTTACAGATTTGGAAAAAGTGATCGATTAATAGGTACTTTCGTTGCATGAGACGCATAAGTTTTCCTCCGTCCATGTCTAGAGTGAGTTGAACCTCTTGACGAACTAGACCTATAAATCACGCAACATCATAAATTTTAGAGAAACAAAACACTGCTGAAAGATGGTCTAAAATTCCTCCACACTCGATCAGTTAACAACATCATATGTTATAATACTTCAAACGATTACCTCTACAACTTTTATCAATTTACCTTTGTGATTCGTTAAACCCTCTCTTGCGATCCTGGCCACGTCTATTTCCACTCCCAGTAAAACGTGTTGACGTTCCGAAGTAAGGTAAATATTTTCCACGACCACAAATTGACTGTGAATTGAGCACTGAACTTTTAATAAATAATTTAATTTGAGTAATTTGTAACTAGCTATTTTTCAGAAAAAATTCTAACCTGAAGCTGGGGTAACTGCACCATCTATCTGTATGTCCCTAAAACCACCGACGATATCTTTATTTGTATTCATATGGTTCAGCTGCCGTTTGATTTCATTCTCCTCACGTGCTGGAGATTCAAGTGATAACTGTTTATTTAAACTGTAAGCAGTCAAAGTAACAAATGGGAATGATTCACCAAACTATTAATCACTTTTACTTGTTGCAAATCTAGTAACATAAGTTACCGTCAAGTTCATTCCAGTATTCCTTTAGCATACACATGATTTGAGCACCATATCGTTCAGCTTTTCGCACAGTCATGCTATCAATTTGTAAGAGATCGGAGTATGTACGCGGCATCAGTGCTGCTATTTGTTCAATACCTTCGGAATTAATAATGGGCTGGAACAATTTCAGAAAAATATCTTATTTCCTTATTTGAAATTTCAACAGCTTTGCAAACACTTGCAATCGGAAAAAAGAGACAAACCAGATGATTGCTAAGGCCCTCTGCAGATGCAATGTCGGAAAACAATCGCAAAAGATCTCCTTTACACTTGCTAAATAAGTCCGCATGTTTCACCATATATCTAAAACAATCTTCATGAAAGAGTATAGATGTAAAATGAGCAAATGAAAAGCACCAACCTTTCTTTCAAAGCCTCTACTTCACTGACACTATTTATCGACATTAGTCCTGCTACTTCCATTCCATGGGAATCATCATCTGACTGATTTGATATATGAAGATACACCTGAAAAGTAAATGCTCCTAATCTGTTCCACATTTTCTACTAAACTTGAATTAAGATTTTCTACTACTTTCTCCTTCCACTTATCAGCTCTTTTTATATTTTCTTAGATTTATTTTGTAATATTTTGTCAGATCCCTCATTAAGATTACCATATATTCTGTCAGCACCATACAGTTCACCACTTATTTACAATAAAACATAATATTTCTTTAGTACCTTCATTCTGCTGTGTCCATTCGCTAGTTCTCGACCTAACTCTGTCAGCTCAGCATAAGCAACCGTTGTACCAAATTTCGTATTATAAAGCTGTTCCGTGATAACGCCGTCAATTACCAATTTTCTAACAAATCTTAATGCATCTGTTTCTTGCATCCTAACACCGCGTCCAAACATTGCATATTTTGTGTGACCTAACCGCATCGCCTACGAACCAGAAACTTAAAACAAAAGTAAAAAAGTATATTGCTTTAAGAAAGTGGAAAATTAGATAATAACAAGTATGAATTTTGCATATCTAGGACCAACCATATCAACGAATTTTTTTTGTCCCATATGACCACGATATAAATCGGCGAGGTACTTCAAAGTAACATTATGCATATAAAGCATGCTCTGAGTCACAAGTTTCGCTTCTTCTGTTACATCGTAAACTTTATATGCGTTCTGAATGTGAAAAATTATCATGAAAATGTTGCATTTTCAACAAACATTTTGAAAATTAAAAAATACCGCATTCTTGATTTGCTGGACACAAACATCACAAGGAGAGTTACTTGTACGACAAGCTTCTGCATCGTAAACCTGAAAGTTCCGATGTCTGCTTCAATTATTTAGTGATTGATACAAAGGTGCAACATTTTAATTCAATGAAATACCTCGCCAAAATGCTCTACTAATAATTTCCGCCGACAAATTGAAACATTTTCACAGTATGCTACAATTTGAAGCACGCTATTCAAATGCATCGTTCGAACGCCTTGTGTGTTATTCTCTCCTAAATTTATAGGTTTATTATTATAAAAAGATAAAAACAAAAGTCAACTTGTGAAAGACTGCAGCTTCGAGTAAGAAAAAAATCATGAATACAAAATAAAAAGTGGAAAACCTTCGATCATTTTCCTGATCCTTACTGAATCATTATAACTGTAAAGGATTGCACAGTATGAATTTAGGCCATCGCGTCCAGCTCGACCAGTCTCTTGATAGTATGCTTCGATCGACTTCGGCATGCTTCATATTAATTTAATTCATTTTAAAAACATGCAAACAAAAAAATCTACTTAAGAACTAAACTGAATAAACATATAATATTACCTAAAATGAATAACAAATCGTACATCTGGTTTGTCGATTCCCATGCCAAATGCTGGAATGGTTGAGATGAATTCATACAAACAGTAGGGTTGGTTTTAACAAATAAAATAATTTTTGTTCGCCTCAGCGTCTAACAAAACAAGAGCGGTAAATGACTGTACCAATAGTAGCACAAATGACATTCACTTGATTACTGATCCATTTCGTTTGCACTTCGAGCCGTTTCTTATCACTTAATCCTGCATGATATACCTCCGAAGATATAGCGTGATTTTCCAACATTTTTGAAACCAATTCACAATCCCTTCTGAAAATAAGGTACAGAGACACATAAATTAATGGAATATTTATTTGAAAGGACTGTATTTTGAAACCTCTTTATAAGAGAAATACATATATACTATAAAAAGAATATACAGAAAAATACACGAGCAATAATACCTTGAGAGACAATAAACAATCCCAGATTTGTCTGGATACAAAATTTTCATGCGATCCATTACCCTCACTAATGAACGCGGTCCTTTAGCAATCACATCGTACTTCAGATTGGTTCTCACAAAACTACTTATAAATCTAAAAATCTCAAACTTTTAAATCTGTGAAATGAAGGAATATTAACACTATATTAAAATAAGATAATAATAAAAACTTTCCTCCATTAATCATAAAGCTCATAATGTATTAGACTTAATTAAAAACTTACAGCTTGCTCTGTTGAATTGCCAAATGAACTCGGATATCAGTTACGATTTTTGGTGTTGCTGTAGCGGTGAGAGCCATAACCGGTACCACTGGATTTGTGAACATTCTCCTGGAAAAAGAGTATAACATGGGTTTATCAAATCAAAAAAATAAAATTAAGACTTCAAATCATGCGACCTTAAAGATTGCAATTTCGTATAATCAGGCCGAAAATCATGACCCCACTGAGAAACACAGTGCGCTTCGTCGACAACAAATCGAGTGAGCAAATCCCTTCGATGTAAAGAAAAGAACATGTTATTCAATTTCTCGGAAGCAGCTATCTGAAGAAAAAATTTACTTTTCTCTTTAAAATCATAAATTCTTATAGAGGAAAACTATGAGGAAACTACAAGTAATTCCCAAACCTTCTCGGGCGTCACATAAAGCAATTTTATTTTTGGAGAGCTTTCATTCAACATGCTATAAATTCGATCCGACTCAGCCTGATTGAGCTCAGATGTTAATGCATAACAGCAAATCTGCAAAATTTTTTTTCAGATTTGAACTGGAATTTGTTTATACTCTGAATATAGCTATTTATACTATAAAGTGATTTAATAATTTCCGAAACTTGCTTCCTTTATTTTGAAAAGTCCATAACTAACCTCAAGCTCCTTCATTTTCATTTTCTGGTCTTCGATTAATGATTTGAGAGGGGAGATAACAACAGTAATACCTTTTGATAAAATAGCTGGAAGCTGATAGCACAAACTTTTTCCAGCTCCTAAAATGAAACTCCTGAGGAAAACACAAAGATTTTACAGCAAGTATGAGAAAAGTTAAACCTGTTGGCATGAGAATAAAACAGTCGTAGCCAAGTAGAGCTGCAATAATAGCGTGTTTTTGGCGATGACGAAACTGGTTGAAACCAAATCTGCTTTTCAAGATATGATACATTTCACTGCACAACTCCCGTCCCAAATGCTTAGCTAAAAATCAATTCGAAACATGTTGAAGAGAAAAAACTAAATAAAATGTCGTCCATTTTTATTAATAAACCCTACTTTCATCTTCGAACTGATCTCCATCATCTTGCAAAAAGGCTCGAAACTGACCGTGCATATCTGCAAAAGAACATATAGTTATAAAAGAACATACATGAATAAAGTAAATACTTACCATGTCTGTGTTTTTCCGAATTACATGACAAAAGATGCGTATCGTCTAGTTCATTAGTTATGTGAGGAGCAGGATGAGCGCTTTCTTGTACTCTGACCTGTAATTTTTCTATCTTGTAGCAATAAAACAATTGGAATATTCTTATTTTTGCTACTGAATAACATTATTCTCGAGTGATTCACAACCTTCATATTCATATCACTGTCGTCCATATCATTGTCGAATACATCGTTATTACGAAGTGTCGTGCATGGTGTGATTTTGGATTTCAGGGGAATGAAATCAGGCGACAATCTTAAATGATCATGAGAAGACTTCAGAAAAATTTTTGAACTGAATTCTTTCAATGAGTTAATCTTCAGAAAATTTTTTGAACCGAATTAAAAGGATGCTTATTCGCTATTGACTATTTGGAGATATTCAGCGTGAAACATACGTTACAATTTCAATAGAGCCTTGTTGTTCATTACCAATATTTCTGTCATAAGTTAGGAGCCTTTCATTACTTGTAACCTTGAAAAAAATTAAAACTTGCAACTTCAACAAGCAGTATAAAAACTGATTAATATGCAGTAATAACAGATTTAAAGAAAAAATTTGATTAATAACATGCAGTAATAAAACATTAAGATGCAGTGTTTAAATGTGCTGCTAAGGATGGAATATTGTCTTAAACATTATAAATATCTCCTGAACTTGAATAAAATGAAAAAAAAGAATCGACAGTACTTCATCTGGTTCCATATTTGTATCCAAAAGATCGTTTGGAGAATCAAGGAATTCAATTTCTTCACCAACAACTGAATCACTGAGATAAATTTCGTCATATCGTGGAGGATCCGGAATGTCTGACACGACGCTTTCTTGGTCCGAACGTCCTTTATTCTAAGTGAAGTATATGCGTAGAGTAGAATGCTATTCATATTAATGTTGATTTATAGAATTACTACGAAGACTGTAAATCTCGTAAAAGAACAACGTGAATAGGGAAGTAATTTAAGAGGACTAACTTTATTAATCAAAGTACTGGATGATACCGATGTTGGAACATATTCCAATTCACTTGCATCTGCAAGTCGTAATAATTCATCGTCATCAAAGTCATCAGAAAGGATAACATTTTTCTTCCGAGAAATGGGTGATACTACTCGAGGTTTGGATATCGGTGCCACTGTTTGTGATTCACGAATCTCTTTTTCATCTCTTTCACACTGAAAGCATTATGTATTTGACGAAGAATTCAATTTTATGCTGAAAGAGAAATAGAAGTAAAGGAGGACAGAGAAGAAAAAATACCGCAAAGTCGGGAATTATAAAATTTCCAGAGGGTTTGATGAAGCGGTACTTGCCAAACTGCACACGTTCACGACATTTCACGCTGTCGTACTTCAGTTTCAGGCTTGATCCTTCCAACATTGGTCTCAACTCAATACATTCTGCTCGGAGCAACAATGCAATTTCATACAGCAAAAAAAGGAAACTTCTCCGAACTTGCTGAAAAAGAAAACTACCGAACTTTCCCGCTACAAACTATTTCAAGTAGGGCAAGTTCTGGAGCGCTATGAAAATCATCAAACCGATTTTGTAAGGCAATTGTCAAGAATATTCAGAATAGAGTTAATTGCCATGTTGATCTTTTTCGGAAATTTTGACTGGAATTTGGAGTTGTTATGGGTAGGAACTTGGTAAGAGTATGGATTCTTATTAGCGGATTGTTTTTTGGAAGTGATCAAGAAAGAGTTATTTTTGAATGACCTTAATTCGTTTTATAGCTGGAGTGATTTACAGTAAAACACAGTTCTTTTGCAAAACAAAAAGAGTTAAGTGAACAAAAAGAATTATTTTATATTTTGGCTATTGAATATAAGTTTAATTCTAAAATAAAACAATTTACATGTGAATTAGTTTAATTTAAAGAGTGAAACATTTCCTTTATATTAGTTTTGAGTGATGATTAATGTGATTCAGAGAAGTGCTCTGAATAAAAGCAATCTTTATTTCTATACTGCAAATTCACTTGGTTATTACGAAATACGTACAGTACGACATATTTGATAGCATTAAACGTTAAATTAAAAGAAGTTAAAGAATGAAGTAAAGGTTAAGGAATAAAATAATGAAGTAACAATGGCCATCGAATTAGTTCATTTGAGAATTATTTTAAGTTTTGGCTTCCGAAGACATCAAACTGCGGAAATTTCAATTGAGTGCAAAGTTGGACATGATAGATTGCAAGAAATAATATGCTATTCCATAGCATTTTTGATAGATCTATTCTACTGTAATTTTTTTTGGTATGCAGTTGATGATAATAGCAATTAGGAGATATCTTACTTGCTGTTGTCTCTCCTACTTTTCCTTATTTTTTCTTTTTTCGTATTTCCACCTTGCTCATTTGAATTCAAAGGCTAATCAGCACTGGCAGTCGTTTGCGTTATGTAATATAATGATTCAATGGCATTTGATTTTTTTTTTCTTTTTAGAATATGCTTTAAATTTTTAGTAACTATAACTAATTAGACATCATCAATTTCTATTTTTATAGCGAGGGTCGTCGTCTCGCTACGGAAATACTTGAAATATCATTTTTTTTATGATGAAGCATTCCTACTTCTGTCTAGAAAAGTTGTAATCTTGTAATTTAACTGCTGATAGATACTGTCACTCAACTAATTAATTCTAATACATATATTTTTCTTTGAAAATGTATTTTCTCCTGAACGTAGGCGATATTTCGCAAAATGAAAAAGTCCTCATTTAGCCCTTGTTGAAACTGTAGACAGGTTTTGTAGGTTATATTTTAATGATTTAAATTGTATCAGATAAAGAAATAAATGTTCAGATCAGATGATATATATGGAATTCGCGACTGTTTATTTTTAGTTGATAGATGGTTAAAATTTTTTTTTTGAAAGGTCTACTTTGAGGTAGGGAAATGGTGGTGAAATGTCTTGGTGCAGTATATCAACTTATTTTAATTGTGGGCTGTTCTAAAAGGCCTCAAATCAAGTTTAATCCAAAAAGGAAAAGATATACTGATTTTGGTTTTTTTGATTTTTATATATGTTAATGCTGAAATATAAGTAATAAAAGGACATTTCTGATTGAAATTCTGGAAAAGAAACTTAACAGATTTCAAATCAATCTGTGTGATAAGCAATAATGCTCCTGGAGATTTCAAAATATTCGTTCATTTCATCCACGTTTTCTCAATTTATAACTAAATTACAGCATTGCGACAACTGCATTTCTGAAGTTCTTTTTAAACTTTTGTTAACATTTAAAAAACATCAAGGAAAAAATATTTCTCTGTGGAAAGTTCCGAAGCCCACAAACTTTCAAATTTTTAGGGACAAAATAAAATATTTAGTATTTCGAATGCTTTTAATGATGGTTTTCAGTGAGTCAAATTCAGATCTAATTCGAACTCCAGCAGTTAAATTTTTTGATACAGTTTCTCTATTAAATAGCTACTTTTTTATCATAGTATCTAATTTTTTGAAAAAAAAAAATCTTTTGGTAGAATTACATAGATACAATTTTTGCGTTTACTGAACCGTTTTTTTGTTTTGTGCTATGCACCAGCGCCCTAAATTTAAATAAAAAATATTGAAATGCCGAGAAGCAGTTTCTTGGGAAGCTTTTGTTTCATCTCTTCATTGAGTAATATTGAATTAATTCTGCATAGTTTTCTAATATTCTGCGCATTTCTGTACAATAAATCTTTTTTCTTCCGCACTTTTACAAGTACCAATTGTAGCGATCTTGCAACCTTGGCGACAGATATTTCAACTTTTGTTTCAACAAACATCTAAACTGCGGCAATGACAGAGTAGAGGAAGAAACAGGGTTTTCGCCGTGACTGATGGGCACGAAATTGAGAAAGTTGGACATCGTCGGTGGGCGGTGTCGCACTAATTGAAAAACATTGTTTCCTGAACCACCTACCTATATTTAATGACTCAACGAAGTATCAGTAACAACTGTCGCTTGGCTAATCTCCTGGCATAAAGGCACGAAACCGAACTTTAAATAACTTTTAAACTCAAATTTGAAGCATTTGTAAAATTTGGTTAAAATCAGTTGCCTGATGATTGCGCAGAAGTTGGAACAACTGAAGGAGAGCACTAACCGCTGGCGTTTTCAACGATCACGCGAAATATTGGCACCAGAAACACGTGGAATACTGAGTCAACGAAAAAGTGCCCTGCTGGAAAAACATGATGTTAGTCAACTCCATGCTTAATGTAATGATCGATTTGAAAAGTGGGATTAAACTGTTTAATTGTAAATATAATCTCATTCAGAAAATCTTTCCGTTCTGTAAGTCGTTATACAATGTCAACTCCATTATCATTGAATAATTTCAGAAATTCTGTAGAATGTATTCTGCAAAATTTGTAAATCTTTGCCAGGAAAATGTTTTGTTTTTGTTGTTACAAAACCGATTTGTGATGAAAAACTCATTTCCTACTTTAAAGCGAATTTATTCTTGGAATTTTTAAATCATTTTAATTACCTCATCTGACTAATTTGTTGGATTGTTTTTTTATGATTACTTTTAGATGAAGATGAATATATGCCTTCTTTCTAATTTTGTGATATAGAATATCTGGTATAACCAGAAACTGGAGCACACAATTGGTTAAGTTCATTCTAGGACTTAATATAAGGGAGAAACGTTGTAATCAAGTACTGATTATTTCGAAGAGAAAAAGCGGAACGTCTTTTCTCCAAACATCATTCCATTCTTTCGCTTCTTTTCTATCAGAAAAAACATCTCAGTTGTTCTTAACTTTTTTAGAAGCTAAGTTTATTTTATTTTATTAACTTCCTGCTACTATCCTATCTAACTGCCAAGAGTTTTGTCCAATGATAATAATAATGATAAAACAATCATAATAAAAATAATAAATTATAGTGAAATTTTGATCCTGAATTGTTTTTAAGGACAAAGCCTTTCCTTCTCCTCCGTCCTTTCTGGATTATTCTGTATGTCAAATTATAAGTCAGTTCATTAATATTCATTTGAGTTTCTCAATGAGTAACACAAAGCTTTGCTCTGTTTTCTCGACCAAGCTATGGAGAGATGTATAAATTTTGTATGTTCTAAAATCATTTTGTTTTTTTCGCAACAAGAACGAAATATATAGATGGATGCGGTAAAACTGATAAGTGTCACCGAATTGTTCATTAAAAAGACAAAGAATGAACGCTATTTGACAATTTTAAGAAATTAACTCTGGTGCTAAATAAAGGAAGGAAATAATAATAGTGCTGTACAAGAGTTCTAGATTATGTGGTTGTAACTTCTAACTACTGCTATCCTTTGTTTACTTTAAAATTCTTAGATTTTATCAATGACTATCAAGACTATCTTTTTTTCAGCCATTGAAAATCTTGAAGTATTTCTAGTTAAAAAGCGTACCAATGTTATCGAAATATCTGGTCAAAATCAAAGAAAAAAGGGCACTAACTCTCAGTTTGTTAAGCTGAAAGGCAAAAACAATTTATACTTCAACTTTCGGATGACTCCTGTGAAAAACATTTTACTCCATCGGATTAATTTGGTTATAATTTGGTAGACAAAATTACAGGAAGAGTACATTAAAGTGACATGGCGCAATCAATTACTAACGCTGATCAATAAACAATTAATCTATTTGTTACTAACCTAACCAGACATCTTTTCCGTTTCTGTCTTCTCAATAACCTCCGGATCAGGCAAATCAAATTGGAAGCGTAAAACAATTGTTTAGCATTTGAAAACAGCACCTCAGATAATTACTCTCCAATTTGAGTTATTCTTATTGTTAGTAAGGCATCAACACAAAAGTAATGGTTGTATTTAATTGATGAACAATTGATGATAATTGAAACACTGGAAATTTAGCTTCATTTTATTTCAGGCGATTCGAAAAAAAATATTATCATAAGATTAAAAGTGATTTAACTAATAAATCACCTTCGTTTTCTTTTCCATTTAATGGATCATTTTATATATTATAATTCCTTTCTTTTTCGTTTTCCATAAATATCGGTATATGAAGATTTGATGAATATGTCATTTAACTGAGTTAAATTAATTATATATTGGAATCCAGTTACATACCAAATAACTGTTCTCACGAGTTATTCACAAAAAAAAAAAAAAAAAAAAAACAAAATTTATTGCTCAAAATTTTGGAAAGAAAAAAAAAGCTTTAAAAAACTTGAAGGAATTGGAAACATATTTTTTTTCTCGCCGAATCTCTCCTGATGAAAAGTTGTTAAAAAAGGAAAGAAAAAGTAGTATCCACTAACAGTTCTTCTTATCATTTTGATTTTCATTGAGTCTTTCATTGGAAGAAACTCAATATAAATCAAAGTTGGGCTTTTTAGCTGTTAGTAGCAAATCAATTAATAAATACTGTAGAATAACGGATTATAAAGAAATAAGAAAATAATTTTCAAAGTGGTTTACATATTTTTCAAATTGCAAGGTCAGTTTTAAGATACGCACTCATTATGCAAGTCTACAGTGTTAACGATTTCAAATATGCTATCATCTTATTTACCATGTAAATGGTTGATGAAATAAATGTTACCTGGAGTGTTTTATCCTTTAACTGATAGCATATTTGAGTCACATTGCATATCACTGCACTTTGAACATTTTTAATTTTATTATTTTTTCTTTTTTTTACATTAAGAAAACTATGAATAGCTTTATTAAGGATTCTTTAACATAAAATATTCTTTTTTATGATAAAAATCAGAACTTCTCACTGACAGTGTTGTTTTTCAAAATTTAAAAAAAAATTTTCTGATTTTTGCTTATTTTTTATATTTGCTGAGGATAATATGAGATGTTATTTATTTACCAAGTCGTTTCCTATGCGAATTCTCGAGCCAATGTTTTTTGCGATAAAATCATTATGAGAGCAATCAGTTTTCCACTTATTACTTCTAAATAGTAGCATACCAATTAATTTAATTAAGAACTAAACTTACCAATTAAGAATTTAATTAAGAAAAAATATGATGAATAAAGATAACTTCTATTTAGCTCCATGGATTATTTCTAATCGTATGATATGTAACAAACAAATTCTTCGGAAATTGTGAAAGTGGGCTTACATTGCCGCAATATGAAGAATGTAATAATGATCTATTTGAAATAACTGCCTGCACTGTGAATAATGTTCGAACGATTCATTTTGAAACGATTCAAATAAATGAACTAGACTAGATCTGATAAGCATACTGATAACTCTCACGAAGATGGATGACATTAAGGAATAATTTGTTATGTATTATTCATATATCATTACAATCTGCACAATCAATCATGATTTGTACACAGTTTGCTTGGGAACCTGTTTACTGAACTTTTTAGTAAATATTGAAAAAATCTACATTGTTTTTTTTTAAATTATCATATGAATTAAAAACACCTTTTTTTTCAGAATGTCTAAAATTAGATGAACTAAATTATATTTTCAAATTTAGTTGTTGATTTTTTTTTTTTTTTTGAGATTTTTAGAAATCTAAATATAGAGTTAAATTTTTCAGTCTGTGGATGGCAATGTTATGCTGAGTGATAGTGCTCAATTGCTGAAAAAAGGCGAGAGCAGAGTACTTGAATTGCAAATACATTCGTTAAAAGAAGTCTTCCTCACGAGAAAACTTTTCTTTTTCTGATTTTTCCAAACAAATTCAATTTAAAAGATATCCTGAAAGAATTTGTCTGAAAGTTCAAATTTTAAAGTTTCCAAATCTTAAAACTGTTAGAATTATAAAATTTTACTTAAAGCAAAATATATATAAATTTATAGTCAGCTGGACGATGGTGTGAGCGTATTAAAAGAAACCCAAATTTGCGACAACTTAATGAAGTGAGACGTTTGCAGAAAGATTTTCCAACTAAGCAAGTACTTCCAAAAACTGAAGCATTGGATATTGATAAAGGCTTGGATCAATTTTACTCTTGCCTTTCTATCATTTCACCGCCATCCAGAATGTTGCAGATTAATTTGAATGAATTTGAAAGTATTACCACTACCACTCCAAGGCATTGAGTTTATGCTTGCTTATCTTTAATTATTTCAACTAATAACTAAATATAAATGAAATTTGAATATTTGAAGTAGTTGTCGAGTGAGATGAGAATAGGAAAATTAAATATTTTTGAGACAATAAGCAATTGTTTATGTGGATGTAACTTATACCATTTACCGATTTCTTCTATCTTGTTAGTTTACTGGTTGATTCAGCGATAACGATTGATCCGCTACAATATTTCCAAATTACAGACAAAATAAATTTACCTGTAGTTCGATTAGTCAGAAAATATTTCTTCTTTTTATTTTTTCAACTTGTAACTTGTAAGTATTTTATAAAAGGAACCTTTGTAGTGCAATTGGAAGTCATTCGAGTCAGATCGTATGTGTGTCAATTTTCATACGCAGTGTACAGTATTGATATCAACGGTTAAAATTTAATAATGACCCTATGCATGACACAGTACACCTGGCGACTTCAATGTTGAGAAATTTAGTCAAAATTGTGAGGTGACATAGTTATGGGTCATACTCCTACCTATATCATGGGGTGTAGACATCGGTACACATATACATACAGCATATACATCTAGAATTCCAATCTGTTCGTTAATTTTCAATCTGATATATCAAGGGGTTGTATAATTGGGCATAAAGGTTATTCTCGATTTTATTTCTTTTCTTAACCAATAATACTGCTACATTCAGTTGCAAATCAAACTACCTAATGAAGATCTCTTGATTTTAGTTGATCTTCTTATGATTCATATCATACCGTGCTTGAATTTGTCCAATGTTCCCATCTGATCATAACATTAATCATAACATACGATAAATAGAGACATCAGCAAAATAAGGAAGAGTTCTGAAATGAAATATGGGCAAAACCAGAATCGTAATAAAAGTTTTTCTAATACCTTTGAAATTTGAATTTTTTCAACACCATGGAAAATACTTCTTGATGTAATAATACCTTCGAAATTAGCTTAACAATGGGAAAAATAAATCTTAAACTATGTGACGTATTTTCAGGTTACTTATACCAATTCGAGCTACAGCATGTGGTCGTGGTCGACGTAATGCTTCATGTCGACCAGCAGAATCTTTGACGTATCAACCATCTGTTGGTGCGTTACCAAGTCCCATCGATTATAGAAGGAAACTTGAACAAGAAGATTATGGAGTGAGAATCTTTGATAGCGCCAAAAAGGTTCTCTATACATAGATTTAACTAATGACGAAAATTAGTAGCCTCGAAAAAAGTTCCAAATATTCTGATAAGCTTCATCTCTTTGTTTCAGGGTCTGCAGAGTAAACTAGATTATTCGGTTGGAAAATTGAGAAAAAGATAACTAAAATCACCATATCCAGAATTAATGCTTATACGAGTGAAAGGTATTTGTTCTTTAGCCATCTTATTTACTACAACTGCCAATTTCACTGTGAAGTAGAAATTTTCGTTTAAAAATCACTGTTCAAGAAACACTGTTTTATTGTTCATATTTTTCTAAATTTAATTTTTTCGTTTGTAAATACAATGATTTAGATGATAAGAATATCGATGTTTGATTAGTACCACCCAAATATACCTCAGTTCATGCATATGCTGTATTTATTCTAGTTACGCCAAATCAATTATTCGTATACCAAGGGAAATACTCTAGTTTACTGGAGAAGAGTAAAGTAATTCTTTTTTAGTATTTGTTTAGCAGCTAGTATTTCAAAAAAATGTCGAATTACTTATTAATAAGTTACTCTGCAATAATTCAACTTTTTTTTTCAGACTCCATAATTACTATTAAAAAAATTGTACTTTTCCCATCTTACTCAAAGTGATGAAAATTACAAAGAGAAATTCAAACTGTTTACTGAAATTTATTTGATTTCTTACTATTTAAAAATTAGTGTAATTAGCTTGTCGTATCTTTCTGGCAAAGAAGTTCTCTTTTGCAAATATAATCTAACCCGCTCTCCTATCTGGTCATGCATTTTATATTTGAAAATGAAAAAATTTGAAAATCTTAAGATTAAAGTCTAATTATTCAGAAGGTTAGCCAAAACCTTGTCAATAGATATAGTTTCAGGCAGCAATAATAAGTACAAGTATTTGTGAAAGAAACGATAAATTGGGATGCACTGCAAGGCACTTTGAAAATGTTCATGAAGGAATAGGTACTGGCGCATTTTGGAGGTTACTTGGATTAAGTGAAAAAGAATGTGAAAATGCCATAAGAGAGGAATATGTTCCAGAAAATCTCCTAATTCTAGATAAACCATTTGAGAACATTGCCGCACAAGTAAACATGATTTATGAAATTGATGAGCATTATAATATACAACGAATCTCATCAAGCCAAATTCCACAAAAGCTATATTCTCTACATTTCAGGAACATTAACTAAATAACAATACGTTAGCATTATGCATTTTATCCTCTGCAACGCAAATGAGAATTAGTTGATAATGATATTTTTTTTGGAAAGACTTAGTATTCACTTAGTAAATCCGAAAAATCTTTTCAACAAGAGTAATCTTTATTTAGTCTATGAAAGATAGTTTTTGAAGACTTTTAGTTTGAAGTTAATAAATTCATTTTTTTACCATTTATATTTGAAATCTTACCTTTTAAATTGGTAAATTTGCGTTTTAGAATTTGATTTTTGATTTTGGTTCTGAAATTTATGTTTGGGTTGGTCGAAACGCTAATCGTATTGCGACACAACATGCAGTTGCGTACGCTGAAATACTGGTACGTTTCAATCCTATATTCTAATTTTATTATTGCCACTGAAACCTTTCATGAATAAATATGCTACAAATTATTGAAGATGAAAAAAATCTTTAATCAAAAAATACAATAATCAGCAGAAAAATATCCGGCAGCACTCAGTAAGTTTGAAAAATCTAAGTAATAATAAAAGATTTTCTTGAAGTCATTAAACTACTCGTAATGAATGGAAATAAATAACTGTAATGAACAAATTTTTTTTTTTAAATAAAAGATTTTAGCGCACTAAACCTCTGAACGTGGTCATTGGATTAGATCAGATGATATTAGGTGATAATTTTGATGTAACTCGACCAGTTTGATGCCTGTACATCAAGCTAGCTCAGGGACTGAATGATTCGCTCTTTCAACACAAATTTCATGACTGGCAAGAAATAACTCTTCATGCAAGAAATCTGTATAACACGTCTGCCTACTCTAAAACCTCTACGTTTCAAGCTTCAGTACTATGTGAAGAAGAGAATGCTTGGAATTTAGGAAGGTGGATTTTTTCTGATCAGTTTAACTTTATACAGTAATGGAGAAATCAGAAAATCAAAACTTAAGAATTTGGAAATATAAATTTAAAACTGAAAACAATTCTGTTTTCAAACTAGTAAAACTTCTTAAACACTGACTTTTGAGAACCAAAATTTAATTTATTGCAGAAATCTAGTAGCCCGACCAATGGAAAAGTCAGTTTTATTCCTGGAAGAAAAGGAACTGTATAGAAATTCCAGAAATGTTTTTACCGAGAACGTACGATACTTTGTTTTGGAAGGTGAAAAGACGTTGAATGAAATGGATGAACTATGGATCTTAAAGGATGATCGCTGCTATATTGTTAAATGGGAATATCGAATTGAACGAATAGTTTTTTTATTTTTGTTAACAGGTCTAGTTCACCTCGCATATATGTTTTTCGTTATAGTTGGAGCAAAAAGAAAAAAAAATGCTAACACATTTCAGGAATACGAAAGTTGGACGGTACCGAACGTGAAAAAGAAACTGGTCGTCTACGCGTTACATATTTTTATTGGTTAGGTAAAAAGACGACTAAAACAGAGCAAGGACTTTGTGCTTTGGTACTAAGAGATTTCGATAGAGCACATTTTCCTCATAAAAGGATTGCACAGGTTATTTTTAACTTTCAAAAATAACTAATTAAAAATGATGGTGAAGTACATATAATCTATCACTACAGAGAATGGTTTGATATAATGCTTTCAGGGCCAGAATTATTTCAAGGATCACTAGTAGTTATATGTAGTTGTGGATCAGGCATTTTCCTTGTTTATGGATCTTCAATTGTCAGTGAGGCTCGAATGGAGGAACAAACTTTACCTATCGTTTATCGTGCTCATGCTATATATATATTGCATTAAATGATAGGAAAATAACAGTATTGGAGGGAGTTGGAAGTAACGAAACTTCAAAGATAGCAGTTATGAATTTTGCCAGAAAAATCAAAATGAATTATAGTGTCTTTGAACAGTTTATTTCAGAACCAGTCATTGACCGTTGTCAGTTGACTGGAACGGAAGATTATGCTGTAATCGAAGCAGATCACTGGATAAAGGTATATCATATCATAGTCTTCATAAATCTCGCATCAGTGACTGCTTTAATTTTATTAAATTTTGATGCATTTATCAACTGTCTTCATCTTATCTATTCCACATTTTCATTACAGCCGCCACGGTTATTCCGGCTGTTTGAGAAAAATGGTGAAGAACTGTTGCCAGCAAATTGGAATTCTTCTCTTCCATTCTCATTTCAACAGGATAGTTTCAGGTTTGCTCTTGACAATGGATTTACTAATACATATTCATATCTATATAAGAACTTATCGCTCAAATCAAAAATTAGAGTACACACTTGCTAAGTCATATAGAAATTGCAAAGTTTTTATTTGTAAACAGTGCGCATATTATACATATAATTGACATTTGAATTAAAAAAGGTATATTTCAGGGATACTATTATAGTAGATCAGACTAACAGACTGTGGGTTTGGAGCGATAAGACGGTCAGTACATTTGCACTGCGTGTAGCTAACGCTTATTGGTTTGGTCGAAGTGGTCCAAAGACAGTCATTTGTAAAACACAAGAACCAGATTCATTCAAAGCACTCTTTGCTAAATGGGATGATTTCGTTGATGAAATCGATGGAAATGAACCTATGTCGGTAAAACTTATGTTTAATCCTACTTCTAAATCTTTGAAATAAGGAAGTATCTAACAGTACACTACCACTCATTTTTTTCTGAAGCAAATCTTCGCCGCATAAATCCAACGTCTTCCGTAAACTAAGTGCACTGTTGACATATATAAGCTAACAAATTTATCATTTTTAGCAGAGCCCACTACGATGCCGACCAATCGAATTAGACGAACTGTTACAATTACGAACAAAAACTTGGCCACTCGAAAAAGTGAAAAACCGAGATTTGCCACCTGGCATTGACCTGAATCGACTAGAGCAATATCTAAATGACGATGACTTTCAATCGCTGTTTCGAATGGAACGAATAGCTTTTTATGCACTCCCACACTGGAAACAAATTGTGCTTCGCAAAAAGCATAAACTATTTTGATGTATAAAATTTACTTCAAAATACTAAACATCTATATCTAAATCTATGAGCTCAGATTTCGAATCTCCTTTCAATCCATTTTTTTTTTTTAAATCAAATTATGAAAGATAACAGTGATTTCTTTAAAATCACAATGTTCCGTATTAACGAAGTTACATCACTGCTGGGGTTTTTATTAGGAATGACTATTTCAGTGAATGCTTCCTTTCTTGATATTAAGAAACTCACTCCGTCATCAGTGGTCTCATGACTTATGTCATATAGTTAACGACTGTTACATTAAAATTACATTTTTCTTCGTTATGCCATATCTTCACAACTTTCTAAGCCCTCAACCGGTGATGTTATCCGTATCGTTTCTCAGATTCTCTCTTTCAAATCCAATTCACAGATGTAGCTTAATTCTGTTACAGAATATATGAGGTCTCCAATGACATACAATAAATAAAGATGTATTCTACAAAAAAAGAAAAAAAAACCCCTAATTCCGAATCAAAGTTTCTCATTACCGATTCTAGTACTTAATGAACAGTAAGCTGTTCAAGTTCTTTTCCAAAGAGCACTGGATTTTCTCTTAACACCCCATTACTAGCCCCTCTAGGTGATAGAGAAACATATCTGTTGAAAGAAAAGTTGAAATCCAGCCAGTTCTTTATCGAAAAAAGAAAAAAATAGAATAAGATTTTCTCTTAAAAAGAAATAGAAGTAGGAACATGAACGATCCATAACTTTACGTCTTCCATTAATAGACATATAAAAGGATACTTCAGCTTTTAAGATGCTAACGAAGCAATGTAGTATTAACTTCTAGGAATTGAGAATATATTTCGCATGAGTATTCATGCTTCTTTTTGCAAACACTACCATCGTTAAGTAAAACTGTGCGTGGATTATATCAGATATTCAAGGAAAATTGTTCGACTGAGACTGTACTCAGTCTAATAATTTAAGTCTAACAATTTAATAAATTTCAAATTTTTGTAGTGTTCGTACTTTTCTCAATACTTTATTGCTCCATAGTGGAAATTTTTTCGAAAGAATTTTTTAAAAAATGACTATTTCCGCGCACCAAAAGTTTTATGGAATTTTTACATCATTTCTAGTGAAAATTTGAAACAAGTACTGTGTAAAAACATGTGTGGATAGTGTCATCGAAAAAAAATTTTTTTTTTTTATCATGTGATTTCACAACATAGCAGCTCAGACCATTTTCCTCCAATTCAGTATACTTCTCTTAAATCAAGATTTTTGAGAGATTTTTGCTTATGTCTTTACTGTGAAGAGAGATCTTTTATCTGCGTAGAAAGATCTCCCCTTCTCTCTTTTTCAAATGCAACAAATGAATACATAAATAATAAAACTGATTACCAAATCACCAGTCAGTAACATCTAATTCATCAACACTCCAGTCCTCAAAAGAACCATCGGGAAGATATCTGCAACAGGAGATCTTCACCAGCTAGGTAAAATTCGAAGAGAAAAAAATTAATGTAGTTTTTGACTCAACTGTTCCAAAGTATATAATGCAAGCCAAACATAATAATTTACAATTTTTATAATTCATTTGTGTTTAGAGATGTGGAATTCCAAGAATCATTTTTTTCCGGAGTCCCTTTAAGAAAATGCGGGACGACAAAAAAAGTAAAATAAAAATTTTCTTAAGAACGAAATGAGAACGACTTACTGAGAAGGCGACTTACAGAAGAAAGCAGTAATCAAATTATTGCACTTTCCTGATCAAGAAAGACAAAGGGAAGTACAAAGCAGTAATGCAACAAAATGATGTCTCTGTTTTTTCATTCATTTTTCAGATGTGTTAATAAAAAGCAGAACTCACCTTCTCACGATAAGAGGTATCTTTTGGTGCTTGAGCTCTTTGCGAGCTATCTCCAACGGATCAGTTTCTCCTTCTAATTCTACCATAACTGGCGCACCCATTGCGATTTGCAACGCTCTCGTGCCAAGGATCCGTGCTCGTTCATATTTTGTCATGAATGGAGTTGTGACGCGCTCCGTAGATGCTGTTTTCTCCGATCCCTGACACAAACAAACATTGATATGGGTGGCACTACATAAAAACTAATACAGAAACTAGATTAAAAAATCGTCGTCTAATTCTCTTCCTTATGAGATATTCTACACTAACTGTTTTCTCTTATGAGGAAATGAATTCGCAATCATACCAAATCGTAAAGTCCCGTGTGAAGTTGCTAACGATGAGATTTTTTTTTGCTTATGGAATTTATAAATCCTAAATGTAACACTTTCAATTCCGAAAAATTTTAAATCAAGATTAATGTCTTGCAGTTGCAGGAATTATATCAACTGAAGAAGGAAAACAAAAAGAAACCTCAACGACTTGTATCCTTTCAGTATCATCTTCGGCCGGTTCCAAATCTAAATCATCCATCTGCTCTTCATCGCCAAAATCATCGGCCTCCATTTCACCTTCGTAGTCTTCGTCTTCCGCCATTTTCGACTCACCTAGAAAGTATCGAAAAGTCCAGCAGTTTGAATGAATTTATTATATATATTCTATCGCTTTATGGACCAGTAACTTTTCTCTCACCGTCATAAAAAAATAAATTTCATGACACTTAAAGGGACATCTTCAGAGATTATGGATTCGCAACAAATCCTTCTGTCGTAGAACTCGAGATGGAGAATGATAAGGAACACAGAAAGTCCACATGATGAGCTTACTGGACTTGACGAGCGAGTCATCAACACAACGTAAATGACAGACCATAATGCTACAAGTCATCGTCTAATTCTCTTCTTTTATAGGATATTTTACACTTATCTTAATCATTGTTTGCTTCCACGTCGTGTCTCGGCTGTTAGTTGTTTTTTTGTGGGGTTTGGTGCGAAGTGTTGTCTTGCGATATCTATTGTCTTCACAGGTATTTACAGAAGGGTAGCACTTGATAAGAATGGTCCGTACGAAGCAAACCGCAAAAAAATCCTTACCCGCTCGGGGAAAGTTAATGAAACTTCGCACAAAACGAGATCGAATAAGTGGTGTTAAGCATAAAGTTCACAGTGATGCTGCTAACGAAAGCACCATCAAGAAACGACGCTACAAGCCAGGTCGGTTGTAATTCCATGTATTTTTTAGTATGCAGTGTTATTCTGTATTCTCTGTCTTGAATTCAAATTACTTTCTTCCATAACTTCATAATAAAGGATCACTTATTGCTTGTAATTTCCGGAACCATTCGTAAGATTTACTGGTGGTTAGAGAATTATTAGTGCTGTTGTTCAAATTGGATTTTGCAGAATATCTTATTTTACATTTTATGTGAATGTTTGAAAATTCATATAGTTGAATGTGTGCGCTGCTCAGGTATGCGTGCTTTGCAAGAGATACGGCGATTGCAAAAAACGGTTAATTTGCTCATGCCGCGTGCACCATTCCAACGTTTGGTGCGTGAAATTGCAACGAATGTGTCCGAAAAAAACGTCGATTTGCGTTTTCAGTCTCTTGCAATATCAGCTCTACAGGTAAGTAATTACCTACCATACATCCGTGTCTTTTACTTGGCTTAGATTTATACCAAATACGATAGATCACAAGGTATCACTCATTTTTAAATGAATGCAGCAAGTCTAAAGAAAGCACTGTAATGTTTCATAAGCGATTTCATAGATTAATTAAGAACTTTATTTCATACTTTACTAATGCCCAACGCAAAATATTTAGCAGATGTCTGTTACTAAAAAGTGAGAGTTTGCATAAGTAAATATAAACTTAGTGTTATAATTATTATGAAATGTCTGTTGTAACTGAGGTGTGAGTTGAGCTGCTTACTGGTCCTATCACTATCACCTATTACACATACACATATATTTGTCTTATTTGAAGTTTTAGTAGAACTTCTACAAACTTTAATCTTTTAAAATAACTCTACTTTTTAGGAAGCTGCGGAAGTGTATTTGACCTGCTTATTCGAAGATACTAATTTGGCTGCTATTCATGCAAAACGTGTTACTATCTTCCCCAAGGATATTCAGTTTGTACGTCGTCTTCGTGGCGAATTTGCTCGATTTGGGCGTTAACTATAATTTTTTTTTTTTTTTTTTTTTTTATTTTTATTATTAATGTTCATTATTAATCTCGACACGTAAATTAGCTCCATATCTTTGTGACATTTATTTTATCCTCAAAAATGTCGAGTTTTTGTGACTTTCAGAATTAAATATGTTCTTATTATTCAGCACTTTCAGTCAAAAAATAAAATAAACGTTGCAAGAATGTTCTCGTAGGCGAAGCCGAAGAAATGCAATTAGTTGTATATAGAAATATTTTGTATGTGTTATTCATTTCATCCGCGTTTTGTAAACATTGAAAGGTCAGAGCGCGGGTAATTAGTTAAGGATTCGACAAGCAGAAAGGATGAATACGCACAGCGGATATGTTCCGATCTGCAAGTAGGACTACCACTGAAACTATACACTGAAGTTCAAACAGTGATCAAAGTTAAATGCAAAATTCAATATCGAGAAATAGATCCAAGGCGGTGACAGTTATAAAGAGTTTTGCAAAATAGAGAGTTTTACATGAATAGTACTCAATATCTACTGTGTCTCATTCACTTCATCCGTGTTGTACAAACACGATTTGCACAACATCGTACAGGACTGGTGAAGGCTGCTGCTGAAGAAACGGATAACAACAAGAAATCCAAATTGGTGGCCATTTTGTTTGACAACTTAAGGTTTTGTCCTGAATGATGATAATACTGTCGGTGTTTGGTGAACTGAGATTCCACGAGAACATGTTAAGAGCAATTCTTCATACCTTAACACATCAGGTCCTGTTTGTGTTTATAATGATTTCTTTTATACCTCAATGAATCATGACGATATGGTAATAAACTATTTTGTAAAAAATTGTTTTGCAAAATTCTTGGAAATTCTTAACCAATATTTCTAAATTATGTATGGTGTGATTCAAAACCATATTTCTCCTGCAAATTTTGGCCTGTAAGTTTCTCTGT